CCGTGTCTCTCTCTGTGTCTCTCTCTCCCCGTGTCTCTCTCTCCCCGTGTCTCTCTCCCCACGTGTCTCTCTCTCCCCGTGTCTCTCTCCCCGTGTCTCTCTCCCCACGTCTCTCTCTTTCCCCGCGTCTCTCTCTCCCCACGTGTCTCTCTCTCCCCGTGTCTCTCTCTCCTCGTGTCTCTCTCCCCGTGTCTCTCTCCTCGTGTCTCTCTCCCCGTGTCTCTCTCCCCGTGTCTCTCTCTCCCCGTGTCTCTCTCCCCATGTCTCTCTCCCCGCGTGTCTCTCTCTCTCCGCGTGTCTCTCTCTCCCCGCGTGTTTCTCTCCCCGTGTCTCTCTCTCCCCGTGTCTCTCCCCGTCTCTCGCCCCGTATCTCTCTCCGTGTCTCTCACCATGTATCCCCGTGTCTCTCCCCGTCTCTCGCCCCGTGTCGCCCCGTGTCTCTCCGTGTCTCTCCCTGTGTCTCTCTCTCTGCGTGTCTCTCTCTCCGTGTCTCTCCCCGTGTCTCTCTCTCCACGTGTCTCCCCGTGTCTCTCTCCCCGTGTGTCTCCCCGTGTCTCTCCCCGCGTGTCTCTCTCCCCGTGTTTCTCTCTCCCCGTGTCTCCCCGTGTCTCTCTCACCATGTCTCCCCGTGTCTCTCCGTGTCTCCCCGTGTCTCTCCCCATGTCTCTCTCACCATGTCTCCCCGTGTCTCTCCGTGTCTCCCCGTGTCTCTCCCCATGTCTCTCTCCCCATGTCTCTCTCACCATGTCTCCCCGTGTCTCCCCGTGTCTCTCCCCATGTCTCTCTCACCATGCCTCCCCGTGTCTCCCCGTGTCTCTCTCACCATGTCTCCCCGTGTCTCTCCGTGTCTCCCCGTGTCTCTCCCCATGTCTCTCTCACCATGTCTCCCCGTGTCTCCGTGTGTGTCTCCCCGTGTCTCTCCCCCGCGTGTCTCCACAGCCGTTTGTGTCCGAGTGTCTGAAACACGGAAACTGCATGGAGGCTAGGAAGTACATCCCCCGTCTCTCTCTCCGTGTCTCTCTCTGTGTCTCTCTCTCCCCGTGTCTCTCTCTCCCCGTCTCTCTCTCCCCGTGTCTCTCTCTCCCCGTGTCTCTCTCTGTGTCTCTCTCTGCGTGTCTCTCTCTCCCCGTGTCTCTCTCCCCGTGTTTCTCTCTCCACGTGTCTCCCCGCGTGTCTCTCTCACCATGTCTCCCCGTGTCTCTCTCCCCGTGTCTCTCTCCCCGTGTCTCTCTCTCCCCGTGTCTCCCCGTGTCTCTCTCACCATGTCTCCCCGTGTCTCTCCGTGTCTCCCCGTGTCTCTCCCCATGTCTCTCTCACCATGTCTCCCCGTGTCTCTCCGTGTCTCCCCGTGTCTCTCCCCATGTCTCTCTCACCATGTCTCCCCGTGTCTCTCTGTGTCTCCCCGTGTCTCTCCCCGTGTCTCTCTCACCATGTCTCACCGTGTCTCCCTGTGTCTCTCCGTGTCTCTCCCCATGTCTCTCTCACCATGTCTCCCCGTGTCTCCGTGTGTGTCTCCCCGTGTCTCTCCCCGCGTGTCTCTCTCCCCGTGTCTCTCTCTCCCCGTGTCTCTCTCCCCGTGTTTCTCTCTCCCCGTGTCTCCCCGTGTCTCTCTCACCATGTCTCCCCGTGTCTCTCCGTGTCTCCCCGTGTCTCTCCCCATGTCTCTCTCACCATGTCTCCCCGTGTCTCTCCGTGTCTCCCCGTGTCTCTCCCCATGTCTCTCTCACCATGTCTCCCCGTGTCTCTCCGTGTCTCCCCGTGTCTCTCCCCATGTCTCTCTCACCATGTCTCCCCGTGTCTCTCTGTGTCTCCCCGTGTGTCTCCCCGTGTGTCTCCCCGTGTCTCTCCCCCGCGTGTCTCCACAGCCGTTTGTCTCCGAGTGTCTGAAACACGGAAACTGCATGGAGGCTAGGAAGTACATCCTCCGTCTCTCTCTCCGTGTCTCTCTCTGTGTCTCTCTCTCCCCGTGTCTCTCTCTCCCCGTGTCTCTCTCCCCACGTGTCTCTCTCTCCCCGTGTCTCTCTCCCCGTGTCTCTCTCCCCACGTCTCTCTCTTTCCCCGCGTCTCTCTCTCCCCACGTGTCTCTCTCTCCCCGTGTCTCTCTCTCCTCGTGTCTCTCTCCCCGTGTCTCTCTCCTCGTGTCTCTCTCCCCGTGTCTCTCTCCCCGTGTCTCTCTCTCCCCGTGTCTCTCTCCCCGTGTCTCTCTCCCCATGTCTCTCTCCCCGCGTGTCTCTCTCTCTCCGCGTGTCTCTCTCTCCCCGCGTGTTTCTCTCCCCGTGTCTCTCTCTCCCCGTGTCTCTCCCCGTCTCTCGCCCCGTATCTCTCTCCGTGTCTCTCACCATGTATCCCCGTGTCTCTCCCCGTCTCTCGCCCCGTGTCGCCCCGTGTCTCTCCGTGTCTCTCCCTGTGTCTCTCTCTCTGCGTGTCTCTCTCTCCGTGTCTCTCCCCGTGTCTCTCTCTCCACGTGTCTCCCCGTGTCTCTCTCCCCGTGTGTCTCCCCGTGTCTCTCCCCGCGTGTCTCTCTCCCCGTGTTTCTCTCTCCCCGTGTCTCCCCGTGTCTCTCTCACCATGTCTCCCCGTGTCTCTCCGTGTCTCCCCGTGTCTCTCCCCATGTCTCTCTCACCATGTCTCCCCGTGTCTCTCCGTGTCTCCCCGTGTCTCTCCCCATGTCTCTCTCCCCATGTCTCTCTCACCATGTCTCCCCGTGTCTCCCCGTGTCTCTCCCCATGTCTCTCTCACCATGTCTCCCCGTGTCTCCCCGTGTCTCTCTCACCATGTCTCCCCGTGTCTCTCCGTGTCTCCCCGTGTCTCTCCCCATGTCTCTCTCACCATGTCTCCCCGTGTCTCCGTGTGTCTCTCTCCGTGTCTCTCCCCCGCGTGTCTCCACAGCCGTTTGTGTCCGAGTGTCTGAAACACGGAAACTGCATGGAGGCTAGGAAGTACATCCCCCGTCTCTCTCTCCGTGTCTCTCTCTGTGTCTCTCTCTCCCCGTGTCTCTCTCTCCCCGTCTCTCTCTCCCCGTGTCTCTCTCTCCCCGTGTCTCTCTCTGTGTGTCTCTCTGCGTGTCTCTCTCTCCCCGTGTCTCTCTCCCCGTGTTTCTCTCTCCACGTGTCTCCCCGCGTGTCTCTCTCACCATGTCTCCCCGTGTCTCTCTCCCCGTGTCTCTCTCCCCGTGTCTCTCTCTCCCCGTGTCTCTCTCTCCCCGTGTTTCTCTCTCCCCGTGTCTCTCTCACCGTGTCTCCCCGTGTGTCTCCCCGCGTGTCTCCCCGCGTGTCTCTCTCTCTCCCCGTGTCTCTCCCCACGTGTCTCTCTCCGTGTCTCTCCGTGTCTCCCCGTGTCTCTCTCTCCCCGTGTCTCTCTCGCCCCGCGTCTCTCTCTCCCCACGTGTCTCTCTCTCCCCGTGTCTCTCTCTCCCCGTGTCTCTCTCTCCCCGTGTCTCCCCGTGTCTCCCCCTGTGTCTCTCTCACCATGTCTCTCTCACCGTGTCTCCCCGTGTCTCCCCCTGTGTCTCTCTCCCCGTGTGTCTCCCCGTGTCTCTCCCCCGCGTGTTTCCACAGCCGTTTGTCTCCGAGTGTCTGAAGCACGGAAACTGCGTGGAGGCTAGGAAGTACATCCCCCGTCTCTCTCTCCACGTGTCTCTCTCTGCGTGTCTCTCCGTGTCTCCCCGTGTCTCTCCCCACGTGTCTCTCTCTCTCCCCGTGTCTCCCCGTGTCTCTCTCCCCGTGTGTCTCCCCGTGTTTCTCTCTCCCCGTGTCTCCCCGTGTCTCTCTCACCATGTCTCCCCCTGTGTCTCTCACCATGTCTCCCCGTGTCTCTCCCCGTGTCTCTCTCTCCCCGTGTCTCTCCCCGTGTCTCTCTCACCATGTCTCCCCGTGTCTCCGTGTGTGTCTCCCCGTGTCTCTCCCCCGCGTGTCTCCACAGCCGTTTGTCTCCGGGTGTCTGAAGCACGGAAACTGCATGGAGGCTAGGAAGTACATCCCCCGTGTCTCTCCACGTGTCTCTCTCTGCGTCTCTCTCTTCCCGTGTCTCTCTCTCCCCGCGTCTCTCTCTCCCCACGTGTCTCTCTCTCCCCGTGTCTCTCTCCCCGCGTCTCTCTCTCCCCACGTGTCTCTCTCTCCCCGTGTCTCTCTCCCCGTGTCTCTCTCTCCCCGTGTCTCTCTCTCCCCGTGTCTCTCTCTGCGTGTCTCTCTCTCCCCGTGTTTTTCTCTCCCCGTGTCTCCCCGTGTCTCTCTCACCATGTCTCCCCGTGTCTCTCCGTGTCTCCGCGTGTGTCTCCCCGCGTGTCTCTCTCACCATGTCTCCCCGTGTGTCTCCCCGTGTCTCTCCCCGTGTCTCTCTCACCATGTCTCCCCGTGTCTCTCTCTCCCTGTGTCTCCCCCTGTGTCTCTCTCACCATGTCTCTCTCCACGTGTCTCTCTCTGCGTGTCTCTCCGTGTCTCCGTGTGTGTCTCCCCGCGTGTCTCTCTCTCCCCGCGTCTCTCTCTCCCCGTGTCTCTCGCCGTGTCTCTCCGTGTCTTGCCGTGTCTCTCTCTCTCCCCGTGTCTCTCTCACCATGTCTCTCTCACCATGTCTCTCCCCGTGTCTCTCTCCGTGTCTCTCTCCATGTCTCTCTCCGTGTCTCTCCCCCGCGTGTCTCCACAGCCGTTTGTCTCCGAGTGTCTGAAGCACGGAAACTGCGTGGAGGCTAGGAAGTACATCCCCCGTCTCTCTCCACGTGTCTCTCCGTGTCTCCCCGTGTCTCTCCCCACGTGTCTCTCTCTCTCCCCGTGTCTCCCCGTGTCTCTCTCCCCGTGTGTCTCCCCGTGTCTCTCTCCCCGTGTTTCTCTCTCCCCGTGTCTCCCCGGGTCTCTCTCCCCGTGTCTCTCTCCCCGTGTTTCTCTCTCCCCGTGTCTCCCCGTGTCTCTCTCCCCGTGTCTCTCTCCCCGTGTCTCTCTCCCCGTGTCTCTCTCACCATGTCTCCCCGTGTGTCTCCCCGTGTGTCTCCCCGCGTGTTTCCACAGCCGTTTGTCTCCGAGTGTCTGAAGCACGGCAACTGCGTGGAGGCTAGGAAGTACATCCCCCGTCTCTCGCCCGAGATGCGTGTCAAGGCCTACCTGTCTGCAGGGTACGTAGCGGGGAGACACGGGGAGAGACACGTGGGGAGAGACACGGGGAGAGACACGGGGGGAGATACGGAGAGACACGAGGGGAGAGACACGGGGAGAGACACGGGGGGAGACACGTGGGGAGACACGGGGAGAGACACGGGGGGAGAGACACGGGGGGAGAGACACGCGGGGAGACACGGGGGGAGAGACGTGGGGAGAGACACGGGGAGACACGGGGAGACACCGGGAGAGACACGGGGAGACACGGGGAGACACCGGGAGAGACACGGGGAGACACGGGGAGACACCGGGAGAGACACGGGAGAGACACGGGGAGACACGGGGGGAGACACGGGGGGAGACACGGGGAGACATGGTGAGAGAGACACAGGGGGAGACACGGGGAGAGAGACACGGGGAGACACGGGGAGACACCGGGAGAGACACGGGGAGACACGGGGGGAGACACGGGGGGAGACACGGGGGGAGACACGGGGAGACACGGGGGGAGACACGGGGAGAGACACGGGGAGACACGGGGAGACACCGGGAGAGACACGGAGAGACACGGGGGGAGACACCGGGAGAGACACGGGGAGACACGGGGAGACACGGGGGGAGACACGGGGGGAGACACGGGGAGACATGGTGAGAGAGACACAGGGGGAGACACGGGGAGAGAGACACGGGGAGACACGGGGAGACACCGGGAGAGACACGGGGAGACACGGGGGGAGACACGGGGAGACATGGTGAGAGAGACACAGGGGGAGACACAGGGAGAGAGACACGGGGAGACACGGGGGGAGACACGGGGAGAGAGACCCTGCCCCCCACTAACCCTGCCCCCCACTAACCTTGCCCCCCACCCTGCCCCCCACTGCCCCCCACTGCCCCCCACTGCCCCCCAGGGACATGCCAGGTGCCGTGGCGAGTGCCCTGGAGCGTCGCTGTGATGGCGACGTGGGGAGAGACCCTGCCCCCCACTAACCCTGCCCCCCACTAACCCTGCCCCCCACTGCCCCCCACTGCCCCCCAGGGACATGCCAGGTGCCGTGGCGAGTGCCCTGGAGCGTCGCTGTGATGGCGACGTGGGGAGAGACCCTGCCCCCCACTAACCCTGCCCCCCACTAACCCTGCCCCCCACTAACCCTGCCCCCCACTAACCCTGCCCCCCACTGCCCCCCACTGCCCCCCACTGCCCCCCAGGGACATGCCAGGTGCCGTGGCGAGTGCCCTGGAGCGTCGCTGTGATGGCGACGTGGGGAGAGACCCTGCCCCCCACTAACCCTGCCCCCCACTAACCCTGCCCCCCACTAACCCTGCCCCCCACTAACCCTGCCCCCCACTGCCCCCCACTGCCCCCCACTGCCCCCCAGGGACATGCCAGGTGCCGTGGCGAGTGCCCTGGAGCGTCGCTGTGATGGCGACGTGGGGAGAGACCCTGCCCCCCACTAACCCTGCCCCCCACTAACCCTGCCCCCCACTGCCCCCCACTGCCCCCCAGGGACATGCCAGGTGCCGTGGCGAGTGCTCTGGAGCGTCGCTGTGATGGCGACGTGGGGAGAGACCCGGCCCCCCACTAACCCTGCCCCCCACTAACCCTGCCCCCCACTGCCCCCCACTGCCCCCCACTGCCCCCCACTGCCCCCCAGGGACATGCCAGGTGCCGTGGCGAGTGCCCTGGAGCGTCGCTGTGATGGCGACGTGGGGAGAGACCCTGCCCCCCACTAACCCTGCCCCCCACTAACCCTGCCCCCCACTGCCCCCCACTGCCCCCCAGGGACATGCCAGGTGCCGTGGCGAGTGCTCTGGAGCGTCGCTGTGATGGCGACGTGGGGAGAGACCCTGCCCCCCACTAACCCTGCCCCCCACTAACCCTGCCCCCCACTGCCCCCCACTGCCCCCCACTGCCCCCCACTGCCCCCCAGGGACATGCCAGGTGCCGTGGCGAGTGCCCTGGAGCGTCGCTGTGATGGCGACGTGGGGAGAGACCCTGCCCCCCACTAACCCTGCCCCCCACTAACCCTGCCCCCCACTGCCCCCCACTGCCCCCCAGGGACATGCCAGGTGCCGTGGCGAGTGCTCTGGAGCGTCGCTGTGATGGCGACGTGGGGAGAGACCCTGCCCCCCACTAACCCTGCCCCCCACTAACCCTGCCCCCCACTGCCCCCCACTGCCCCCCACTGCCCCCCACTGCCCCCCAGGGACATGCCAGGTGCCGTGGCGAGTGCCCTGGAGCGTCGCTGTGATGGCGACGTGGGGAGAGACCCTGCCCCCCACTAACCCTGCCCCCCACTAACCCTGCCCCCCACTGCCCCCCACTGCCCCCCAGGGACATGCCAGGTGCCGTGGCGAGTGCTCTGGAGCGTCGCTGTGATGGCGACGTGGGGAGAGACCCTGCCCCCCACTAACCCTGCCCCCCACTAACCCTGCCCCCCACTGCCCCCCACTGCCCCCCACTGCCCCCCACTGCCCCCCAGGGACATGCCAGGTGCCGTGGCGAGTGCCCTGGAGCGTCGCTGTGATGGCGACGTGGGGAGAGACCCTGCCCCCCACTAACCCTGCCCCCCACCCTGCCCCCCACTGCCCCCCACTGCCCCCCAGGGACATGCCAGGTGCCGTGGCGAGTGCCCTGGAGCGTCGCTGTGATGGCGACGTGGGGAGAGACCCTGCCCCCCACTAACCCTGCCCCCCACTAACCCTGCCCCCCACCCTGCCCCCCACTGCCCCCCACTGCCCCCCAGGGACATGCCAGGTGCCGTGGCGAGTGCCCTGGAGCGTCGCTGTGATGGCGACGTGGCTGCTGTGTTGTCTCACCCCCTGGCTGACTCACACAGACGCCTCGTGGACACCTTGCCTCGTGGGGGGGCTGGGGGCCAGCAGTGAGCACCACAACAACAACAACACTACAACAACAACACCACAACCACAACAACACCACAACCACAACAACACCACAACACCACAACCACAACAACACCACCACCACAGACGCCTCGTGGACACCTTGCCTCGTGGGGGGGGTGGGGGCCAGTGAGCACCACAACAACAACACAACAACAACCACAACAACAACACAACCACAACAACACCACAACCACCACAACAACAACAACCACAACAACACCACAACAACACAGACGCCTCGTGGACACCTTGCCTCGTGGGGGGGGTGGGGGCCAGTGAGCACCACAACAACAACAACACTACAACAACAACACCACAACCACAACAACACCACAACCACAACAACACCACAACACCACAACCACCACAACACCACCACCACAGACGCCTCGTGGACACCTTGCCTCGTGGGGGGGGTGGGGGCCAGCAGTGAGCACCACAACAACAACAACAACACCACAACCACAACAACACAACACCACAACAACACAACAACACCACAACAACAACAACACAACCACAACAACCACAACAACACCACCACCACCACAGACGCCTCGTGGACACCTTGCCTCGTGGGGGGGGGTGGGGGCCAGCAGTGAGCACCACAACAACAACAACCACAACAACAACAACACCACCACCACCACCACCACTGCCACCACCACCACCACTGCCACCACTACCACCACCACCACACAACCACCACCACCACCACAACCACCACCACCACCACAACCACCACCACCACCACACCACCACAACCACCACCACAACCACCACCACCACCACCATCACCACCACCACCACCACCATCACCACCACCACCACCATCACCACCACCATCACCACCATCACCACCACCATCACCACCACCATCACCACCACCATCACCACCACCACCACCACCACAACCACCACCACCACAACCACCATCACCACCACCACCACCACCGCCACAAACACCACAACCACCACAACCACCACCACCACAACACCACCAACACCACAACACCACCACCACAATACCACCACCACAACACCACCACCACAACACCACCATCACCACCACCACTACCATCACCACCACCATCACCACCACCATCACCACAACACCACAACACCACCACCACCACAACCACCACCACTACCACCACAACCACACAACCACCACCACCACACCACCACCACAACCACCACCACAACCACCACCACCACCACCATCACCACCACCACAACCACCACCACAACCACCACCACCACCACCATCACCACCACCACCACCACCACCATCACCACCATCATCACCACCACCATCACCACCACCACCATCACCACCACCATCACCACCACCACCACCACCACAACCACCACCACCGCCACAAACACCACAACCACCACAACCACCACCACCACCACAACACCACCAACACCACAACACCACCACCACAATACCACCACCACAACACCACCACCACAATACCACCACCACAACACCACCACCACAATACCACCACCACAACACCACCACCACAATACCACCACCACCACCACAACACCACTACCACCACCACTACCACCATCACCACAACCACTACCACCACCACTACCACCACCACCATCACCACCACCACTACCACCACCACCACAACCACCACCACCACCACTACCACCACCACCATCACCACCACCACTACCACCACAACCACCACTACCACCACCACCACCACCATCACCACCACCACTACCACCACACCACAACCACCACCACTACCACCACCACTACCACCACCACCACCACTACCACCACCACTACCACCACCACTACCACCACCACTACCACCACCACTACCACCACCACTACCACCACCACTACCACCACCACCATCACCACCACCACTACCACCACCACCACAACCACCACTACCACCACCACCACCACCACCATCACCACCACCACTACCACCACACCACAACCACCACCACTACCACCACCACTACCACCACCACCACTACCACTACCACCACCACTACCACCACCACTACCACCACCACTACCACCACCACTACCACCACCACTACCACCACCACTACCACCACCACTACCACCACCACCACAACCACCACTACCACCACCACCACCACCATCACCACCACCACTACCACCACACCACAACCACCACCACTACCACCACCACTACCACCACCACTACCACCACCACCACCACTACCACCACCACTACCACCACCACTACCACCACCACTACCACCACCACTACCACCACCACTACCACCACCACTACCACCACCACTACCACCACCACCACCACCGCGGTTCTCTGTCCCGTTGCCCCACACCTTGAAGTCAATAAAGGAGTCAAATGAGCTCACAGTGTAGTGTAGTATGTAGTGTAGTGTGTAGTGTAGTGTGTGTGTAGTATGTAGTGTGTGTGTGTAGTGTGTGTGTGTAGTGTGTGTGTATAGTGTATAGTGTGTGTGTAGTGTGTGTAGTGTGTGTGTATAGTGTGTGTAGTGTGTATGTAGTGTGTAGTGTGTGTGTAGTGTGTGTGTAGTGTGTATGTAGTGTGTGTAGTGTGTGTAGTAAGTGTGTAGTAAGTGTGTAGTGTGTGTGTGTAGTGTGTGTGTGTAGTGTGTGTGTATGTAGTGTGTGTGTGGTGTGTGTGTGTGTAGTGTGTGAGTAGTGTGTGTGTAGTGTGTGTGTAGTGTGAGTAGTGTAGTGTGTGTGTAGTATAGTGTGTGTGTAGTGTGTGTGTGTGTAGTGTGTGTAGTGTGTGTGTAGTGTGTATGTAGTGTGTAGTGTGTGTGTAGTGTGTGTAGTGTGTGTGTAGTAAGTGTGTAGTAAGTGTGTAGTGTGTGTGTAGTGTGTGTGTGTAGTGTGTGTGTAGTGTATGTAGTGTGTGTGTATGTAGTGTGTGTGTGGTGTGTGTGTGTAGTGTGTGTAGTGTGTGAGTAGTGTGTGTGTGTAGTGTGTGTGTAGTGTGAGTAGTGTAGTGTGTGTGTAGTGTGTGTGTAGTGTAGTGTGTGTAGTGTGTGTAGTATGTGTAGTGTGTGTGTAGTGTGTGTGTGTAGTGTGTGTGTGTGTAGTGTGTGTGTAGTGTGTGTGTGTGTAGTGTAGTGTGTGTGTAGTGTGTGTGTGTAGTGTGTGTGTGTAGTGTGTGTGTGTGTGTAGTGTGTGTGTAGTGTGTATGTAGTGTGTGTGTGTAGTGTGTGTGTAGTGTGTGTGTAGTGTAGTATGTAGTGTGTGTGTGTAGTGTGTGTAGTGTAGTGTGTGTGTGTAGTGTGTGTAGTGTGTGTGTAGTGTAGTGTGTGTGTAGTGTGTGTGTAGTGTGTGTGTAGTGTGTGTGAAGTGTAGTGTGTGTGTAGTGTGTGTGTGTAGTGTGTGTGTGTAGTGTGTGTAGTGTGTATGTAGTGTGTGTGTGTAGTGTGTGTGTAGTGTAGTGTGTGTAGTGTAGTATGTAGTGTGTGTGTGTAGTGTGTGTAGTGTGTGTGTGTAGTATGTAGTGTAGTATGTGTAGTGTAGTGTGTAGTGTAGTGTGTGTGTAGTGTGTGTGTGTAGTGTGTGTGTGTAGTGTGTGTGTGTAGTGTAGTGTGTGTGTAGTGTAGTGTGTGTAGTGTAGTGTGTGTAGTGTGTGTGTAGTGTGTGTGTGTAGTGTAGTGTGTGGTGTGTGTGTGTAGTGTGTGTGTGTAGTGTGTGTGTGTGTAGTGTGTGTGTAGTGTGTATGTAGTGTGTGTGTGTAGTGTGTGTGTAGTGTGTGTGTAGTGTAGTATGTAGTGTGTGTGTGTAGTGTGTGTAGTGTAGTGTGTGTGTGTAGTGTGTGTAGTGTGTGTGTAGTGTAGTGTGTGTGTAGTGTAGTGTGTGTGTAGTGTGTGTGTAGTGTAGTGTGTGTGTAGTGTAGTGTGTGTGTAGTGTGTGTGTGTAGTGTGTGTAGTGTGTATGTAGTGTGTGTGTGTAGTGTGTGTGTAGTGTAGTGTGTGTAGTGTAGTATGTAGTGTGTGTGTGTAGTGTGTGTAGTGTGTGTGTAGTGTGTGTGTAGTGTGTGTGTGTAGTGTGTGTGTGTAGTGTAGTATGTGTAGTGTTTAGTGTGTGTGAGTAGTGTAGTGTGTGTGTAGTATGTGTAGTGTGTGTAGTGTGTGTGTGTAGTGTAGTGTGTAGTGTAGTGTGTGTAGTGTGTGTGTAGTGTGTGTAGTGTGTGTGTAGTGTGTGTGTAGTGTGTGTGTAGTGTGTGTAGTGTGTGTGTAGTGTGTGTGTAGTGTGTGTGTGGTGTGTAGTGTGTGTAGTGTGTGTAGTGTGTGTGTGTAGTGTGTGTGTAATGTGTGTGTGTAGTGTGTGTGTAGTGTGTGTAGTGTGTGTGTGGTGTGTATAGTGTGTAGTGTGTTTTGTGTAGTATGTGTAGTGTGTATGTAGTGTAGTGTGTAGTGTGTGTGTGTAGTGTGTGTGTAGTGTGTGTAGTGTGTGTGTGTAGTGTGTGTAGTGTGTGTGTGGTGTGTGTGGTGTGTAGTGTGTGTAGTGTGTGTGTGGTGTGTGTAATGTGTGTGTGTAGTGTGTGTAGTGTGTGTGTGTAGTGTGGTGTGTGTGTGTAGTGTGTGTACTGTGTGTGTAGTGTGTAGTAAGTGTGTGTAGTGTGTGTGTAGTGTGAGTGTAGTGTGTGTAGTGTGTGTGTAGTGTGTGTGTGTAGTGTGTGTGTGTGTAGTGTGTGTGTAGTGTGTGTGTGTAGTGTGTGTAGTGTGTGTGTGTGTAGTGTGTGTGTGTAGTGTGTGTAGTGTAGTGTGTAGTGTGTGTGTGTAGTGTGTGTAGTGTGTGTAGTGTGTGTGTAGTGTGTGTATGTGTGTAGTGTGTGTAGTGTGTGTGTGTAGTGTAGTGTGTGTAGTGTGTCTGTAGTGTGTAGTGTGTGTAGTGTGTGTGTGTAGTGTGTGTAGTGTGTGTGTGTAGTGTGTGTAGTGTGTGTAGTGTGTGTAGTGTGTGTGTAGTGTGTGTAGTGTGTGTGTAGTGTGTGTAGTGTGTGTGTA